AAAAAAAAGAAGGAAATAAATTGGAAGGGTCAAGTGGTGATATAAATGTGTAATTCCAAACATTCTTCTTATTCGACTTTAGTTTGTAGGAGGATAGCATTCTGTATTAGAATGTAGAACAGAAAGTTTGAACCTGTTGCCCTTCCCATTTTCCTTAACCCTGCCTTCGACATCTTTGATGAAAGAATCAAATTCAAATCCAATGGAATATTACATATGATATTTTAAAATGTGGAACTTCAAATAAGAGAAAAATCAAAAACACTTTGGGTACATCACAAAGAGAGAAGAAACAGTCTAAGAGCAAATGCGTCCCTTAACTTTACTAAAATAAGGTCACTGAGTCGACTTGTCTATGTATCCCTTCAAAAAGTGACCTGGCCTAGAATGTACTCTCTGATTAAGGTATGATAGCCGAAGAAGGAGAGGAGCTCCGGCATAGGAAAGCGCGAACAGAATCCACACGTTCATCTGAAGGATTCACCATCGGCAGTGATCTCGAAGATGAGCCGAGTCCGTCCTCATGTCGTTCACGAATTTCGATAGCTGATAACCTTACCATTTATTGTGGTGATGAGGAGGTGCTTATGCCGGATATTGGTGAGTTTTAATCTCAGCCATTATATCAACAACATCATGAAATAACCATTATAATTGCTTTTTACTCATATCTCAACGTTTGCTTCATAAAAATTGAATGGAGACTAATGTGAATAAAGCATATTCCTTGAAAATCGTTCAATGAAGATAAATTGTCTAAGACCTAAACGAAACTTACCTTTATCGCAGATGACGAAAGACAACCACATCTTTCTCCACCTTCATATAACTTCTTTGAATACTGCTGGAGTGAACTAACAAGGTTAGAATTTTGATCCTTTTTTGCACTTGGTCTTCAGATAACTTTGAAATTTGGTATGATTTTCCCTATTTACTGTTGGTGTGTTGTTAGTTTGAGTATTTTAATCAGTTTTTCTTTTCGCAATTAACCATTTCAACAAATTTGAATGACAAGTTCCTTTTCAAACCCAGTTTTGAAAAAGTCTATACTTGGATTTAGAGGATATTCTCTACACAATGACCAAACCCGTTATACAGAGAAACGACGAAAAGTCTATGCTTTTTTGCGAATTCCTATAGAAGTAAGTTTCTTATATATGAATTTTGATAATTTCTCAACTTTATTGTTTTATAGGTCGAACGGTTTCTCTTCTATGGCTTATTACAATGCATCGATGCATTTTGCTATCTTTTCACATTTCTTCCCATTAGAT